GCTTGCAACACTAGTCCTTTATGGGGACCAAACTTGGCGAAAAAAAATAGCTAAGTTTGTTTACTGGATATACTGAGGTTTAAGTCGTTCGTTCTACAGCTTTTTCCATTAATTAGTGTATTTGAATTCTAATTACTGGTAAAGGTTGGTGTGTGAAGAAAGTGATACATGACGCAACACTTTGTATTAAAATTGCTTGGCTAGTTAAATAGAGCCATTAAATTAATGTTGTAAAAGCAACCGCAGGAAGATTAAGTATCTCATCGCTCGTAAAAGACATTAAATGTCTTCGGTGTCGGATGAGGACGTTAGAAAAACAGAAGCTGGGGCTATTGTGGACTTCATTAAAAGTAGCGCCGATGCTGATGAGGAACTATGCAATACTTTTAAGGAGTCTGGGCAATTGAATGATTCGGAAGGATTTTGCCATGCTGGTTATCGTTTGGATCAATTTGCCCAGGATGTAGCGGATTTTAGTTCTCAGTATGGCAGCGATTACAGCATTTCTTATACAGCTCCAAACATAACAGGCAGACCTCGAAAGTTTCCGGAATATGGTGACTTTCCAGAAACATACGCAATGGTTTGTATACATTTTATAGGTAAATATGTACAATTGTATCTGGATACATACATGGAATATTCTGCCACATACAGCGCACTTACGGAGAGTGGTGGAAAAAAGCGCCAAGTTATGTTCAAGAGATTCAACCACAAAACTTTTCGAAAATTCCTGCTCAAGACTTTATAGGTAACTATTTACTTACATACATATATGTATCTTAAGCAATGCATATCGTATAAAATTTGGACTTCTTTATTTTAACAGTTTTATATTTCGAGGAGTATGTTCTACCAGAAGATATAGTTGTATACGAAACATTCAACCCTGGGGCATTAATTCGAATATGGGCGTATACCATAACAAAGTCATGGTTTTGTTTATGGGAAACTGATGAATTATACAAACCTCAACCACACTCTATAAACAAAGCCCGCCGTTTTTCCCCACCATTGAAAAAAA